TCTTTTTTCGCAATAAAGATTTGAATTAAGATATTTTAGGATTTTTTGAGAAGGATTTATATTGCTTTATTGCGAAAAAAGAATTTTTTTTTTTTTGTAAGGATTTATATTGCTTTATTGCGAAAGAAGAATTCTTCTTTTGCAATAAAGCAATATAAATCCTTCTAAAAAAAAAAAAGAATTCTTCTTTCGCAATAAAGCAATGACAATATAGCATAAATAAGCAATATAGCATTTTTGTATTATATTTAGCAGCATGTTGAGTTTCCGTTTTAGGGTGGAAAGTATCCTTGAGTGACACAATTGTCCTACGTCACGACTGATGTCAAATTTCTCTTTTACGCATATTTACGGTTACATAACCACGTAATAATTTGCATTTACCGCTCGCTTTTCATGATTTATGCGGCATTTCTCTTGCAATTGCTCGCGGAAGTTAAAGGGAATAAAAATTGCGACACGCATAATGCTCGTAATTTTCTCACGATAGTAGAAAAAGGAGGAAGAAGCAGAATGTCGGTTTGCGGCGGGGGTGTCATTATCTTTGCGCATCGAGAAAAAGCACGGACGAAATTGTTACGACATTTTGTTTCTATTTGCTATCAGATTGCTACATTATGTTATTTAAAGCGTGTAGTAAAAAAGGGAGAATAATTTGAAGGACGTTTTTTATCCCATCTTGTCGCGCAAACCGTCAATAGAACGTGCTGCTGTTTTTATATGCAGGCTAGCAACAGGATTCACATCGAGTGAATGTATCAAATCAATGTAACAATGTAGAATTATTACTTTGCAATTTGCTTTTGATTCAATAATTAATTTTAATTTTGCTTGCGGTTGGAATTCTTTTTACCGCTATATTATATTATTAAAAAGAATATTATTTCGCGGATTGCGAGTTCCATTTTAAGCCGCCTTATTAGTAACTAGCTGTACTAACAACTAAGAACGCACAATTACGATCTATACTTTGTTTGCCACGAGAAAAGAATAGCTGAATCCTCTTTAGAAAATGAACAGAAAGAACAAAACGCCAAGGACGAAATATAGCGTAGGAAAGCTCGTGACTGTTGGAATATTGTCGAGCTTAGAATGTTATATATATATATACGCAGCTTCCTTTAGAAATGCGTAAGAAGCTTCATTGAAATTCCCCAGTGAGAGTCTGGCAAATAATTGCTGCGCGAGCAAAAAACAACTCCTAAAGATAAGATTTTTTTCTTTCCGCACAAAATGTTCAATTGCATTTTTGCAAACGTTTTGATCTTAGCAAAATCAAGAAAGGACATAAAATTATCATAATCATTTCTATCTTTTATTCAACGACTTGTTGCATTTTTTGCATCTGAAACTTGCTTATATAATTTTGTTATAAATTTTATAAATCTATTTTTATTCAATAATACTATTCAAAATGTTGAAATTTATGCATTATATATAAATAATTTTGTTGCTTGTTAATTTTTTTTTTAAGAGAAAATCAAATGTTAAGAGATTTTGTATATGATTCCAATATTACGAATACATGCAACTTGTTTTATCATAAACTGCAATTCAGCGATTCGCAATCAAATGATAAAAAGATGAAATCAAAATTTCTACGTGACCTCTGAATGTTTATAAATAAAATTTATTGAAGATGCAATCTCGTGATGAGAGGAAATGCCGTAATCAATTTAATAATTTTATCCAAGAAAGAGAGAGCGGATTAAATACCGAAGAAAGACTTCAATAATTTTAAACGCAAGATGCAAGTAAATAAATTATATGATGAATCGAACAAACAAATCCTAACAATAAATTAATTAATCTGATTGACTGCTAGTCTGACGCACGATAAATCATGATTCCTTAATTGATTGATTCTACGAAATGATTAATAGAAAGATGTTCTGGGGGCAAGTTGAAAAATGAATGATGAAGCGGTTGAGGAAAATTACAGGCGCGAATCAAAGCCTCGAAGTGACATTATGTATAGTCATTAACATGATTGCTGTGGGAAAGACGAATATTTTGTGTGAGCCATATTGTCGGTCCGTTTGAAATCGTTAAGTGCACGATGAACGCGCGTGTCAATGAAATTCAGTCCTTGGCCTCGGTATTATACTGCGTAGAGGATTACTTGCCGTAGAGGATTATTAGGATTAGAGACATAATCAATCTCATTTGATTGTAATAATATATATTAAGTATTTAAGTTTAATTGCGCCAGGCTTCGCATGCCGATCACACGTTCAATCGCGCGGTGTAAAAAAAAATTATAAACCGATCCGTTGAATAAATTAATATGATAAAATCGCGCGTGCGAAACAGGTCGGTCTGGTAGAAAGTTGAATTTTGGACTGATCTTTTTTTCTTTTTTCTTTTTTTTTTTTTGAATGTCTGATTCCATTCGTGTGAGATACGATTTTTCATCGTCTACTTACATATGCAGCAGACGGCGAGCATTCTTACGGAGTCGTCGGGCGGTGTGCAGTCCGGGAAGAGCGGCTTGAGGACGTAGACGCTGAAAGTCAAGGCTACGATAGCCTGGCTGCAAGGGCGAACTATCATGCACTCGACCCATAATCTAACGAACGCCAGAAAAGGCCCGAAGGTCTCCATGATATACGCGTAATCCGCGCCCGATTTTCTGATCATGCAGCCGAGCTCGGCGTAGCAATAAGCTCCGATCTGTGGAAAGATACGTAAAGAATAGGCATTTAACTCATTTGGCACAGATATCGCTGTTTGTATATTAAAACAGATTTCTCGCGATAAATTTCTATCTTTACTAATTTGGATTCTCATGTTTTTATTCGATTTGACGTAAGCAAACGCGAAATAAATTAAGGCAACAAGGTGTGTTTACGCGCGCTACGAAATCCGAATGCATCGCGAATTTGCATATTGTCGCCATTTTCGTGTTTGACAATCTTTAGGTCCTGGCAGCTTGAATCATATTGCGTCTAGTATAATCGTGAGGTAAATTAAGCTTTTTATGCTTTTTGTGAAAAAAACAATTTGGCGAGAATTCCGGAAACTGTTTTTAGCTGAAAGGAGAGAAAAATTGAACATACCATGGAATAAATTCCTGATGCCGTCCATACGAGAAGACTCGCGTTCACGCTGCCGGTGTACTTAAGGACGCCCGTTGGGCTGACGAAAATGCCAGAACCGATGATGGAGCCGACGATGACGGTGACGCCGTTGAGAAGCGACATTTTCGCTTCCAGCTTGATCTCATCGTTGCGGTTCTCGCTGGTAGGGATCGGATCGTAGGGACCCTTCTCACCATCTTTGATACTCCCTGACTTCGACATTTTTCCTGAAACGCGCAACAATACTATACAATTTTGCATTTAGATTTTTAAATATTTATATTAATTTAATTTGAAGTATTTTTTATCCAATGAGGAAAATACTACAAGATTGAAAAAGTAAACGCTTTTTATTCTACGATCTACGATTTCTGAACAAAGTATAATGCGACTAATGATGTTTGTCATGCCATGTTATGAAATGCGTAAAAACTTATCAATTCTTTATTATTTTGCTATTCATTCATGGGCTTGTTATTAGAAATATTCAATTTGTAACTTTTCGCATATCGTCAGTTGATTCACATTCGATAGATCTATTTTGAGGAAGATAGGAGTGCTTTTTTCCGTTTTAAAATATATTTAGATGTAGAACATTATGTAGTATAATACCTTACGTAACAAATCATCAATTCCTTTACGTTGATTATACACTACTAGGATATTAAATCGATGATCATATTGAAATGATCGCGTTCAGTCACGCAACAATCACGTAAACCTCTATAAAGTCATTTTTTATATTTTTAGTTATTTTCTTATTTATTGAGCAATTTAGTTTTTATAAAAAAGTATTCTGTCAAACATAAAGCAAGAGAAAACATTATGTTAATCAAGATTAAATTACTCGTTTTTTTTTTTTAATATTAATTATATATCGTTAATTATACCGGAATTATGTTTGATTAGATCAAAATTTATTTGGAAAAAAAAACAAGACTGTATCACCTATTTTCTTTAAACGAAGAATTTATATTTACCTTTTTCTTATCAGATCTTAAAGTAATGTGATAAAAGCGTTTGTGTAAATCCTGATCTTTAGTTTCATGGCTGATACTTTCTTTCGAAGGATTTTTCACGTTCTTGTTCTGAATAATGCATCTGACATCGCTTGAAACGAAACGAGCGAGCGGGAACAACTTTTACTTTGTAATCAGCAATCAATTCATCTTGGAGAAAAGAATCTCCGTTCTCGTATATCGGCGACGATACAGGTAAAGTTTCTGCGTGGGTGAAAGATCGATTTTATTCCAATTCGGTTTTTAGAAATCTTGCACACTCTCGTAATGCATAGCAAGTTCTATTTGTTGACATCAGGTTTGTTCTGCGGAAAAACTTCCTGAACCTTTCAAGCGATATCGATTGTTCAATTTGATAGAATGTAGTACTCATTAAATATGCTTCAGTGTCAAAGGTCGTGAAAAAATTTCAATATCAAAGCAACTTTAAAGAAAGAAGTCAATATTTAAAAAGAAGAAAATTCAATAGAAAGTTTTATACATTAATATTTATATATTGTTTGTATGAGGAAAAATGAAAAAGTAAAAAGACATTTACGATCGATTTGGGTATTAGAAGAGAAATCCTTTTTTATTTTCCCTAGTAAATATATCGAATAATATAGTTTTACATTAATTTTTATTATATTTACCGATCGTTTTTGCTTAACAAATTTTCCGCTTAACTTCTCGCTGTGAGGAAGGAAATTCCTGCCGCTTGTGCGTTATCACACTTATTTGTTCTTAACTTTATCATTTACGTCTCAGAACTCTTCGTTTCATCTCTATCAGAATCCGACGCTACGTCGCGAGCGCAGCTGCGTAACTAGCGCGTCAAAATAAATTTCCGAATGAATTAATTTGAATATTGTTACTATTTACCGAACTGGATCCCGACCAATCATGTGCGCAATTATCGATACACCTTACTGTCACCTATCTAACGGTTTGCTTCGAGGAAATGAGAAACCTGTTTCCCGATACGCCTGCTCGCATATTCATTAATTACCATACATCTAAAATACCGAAACATAATATCCGATTCGCCGATCGATCGCCGAGCCCGCGGCCGCGTCGCTGCCAATGTCGTTTTGTCGCGTTGATTTATCGATCGCTCGATTCTCGATTTCCTGTACTCTATCGTAGATTCTCATATGAGAACGTTAGATCTAATAAAAGGCATCATTCTTACGTTATAATACTATTTATTTGATACTAATATTGTTAGCTCCATGTTTTGCGTTTAAGAAATTATATTTTTCTAACTAGGGAATGTTTTTTTCAGATTGAATTGTCCTTGGCGAATGCGAGAATTAATAACAGTAAAGCTTCTACACGGATCCTAGTCTTTGAAAATCGTATCGAGTCACTTACGACGACAGGCGGAATGAATATTACGGCGCCTGAATAACGTAAATCGCTGAAGCGAGTAAAAGAGTAGAATATTGCAGGGCTTCCTGCCCGGAGATGCCCGACAAATCCGTACCAGACGGCAACTTGTAGAGGTATGTCAGTTTTTTTTATTACAGGGTTTCTGTGTTCTTTAAAGTAGAACGGTTTAAGCGTTAACTCATTTTACTTACATATGTCGGTGCAATATTTATTCTTCTATTACTTAAATTGTTCAACGAAATGAGAGGCTTAGTAAATCTTTTTTTAAAGTCTTCTCAGTAAAAATGTGATTGAGAAGAGTTGACAAGCAAGCTACGAGATAATACTAAGAAAGCTGAGAACTCAGTAATAGAATAACGTAGATTACGGAGGCTTATGTAGCGCTTGTGAGGAAAGTTTGCGCGCGCGTGTTTCTGTAACAAGTTTATAAACTAATATGCGCGACCCTTTCGCTGTCGATAAAGATTTATTCGCTCGTGAAGCGGAACGCAATTTGCACTTATCAACGTCTGTCCTTAAAGTCAATGCCCTTCCAGTTTTGATATGTCAATCGTGCGAGTCTATTGTTGAAAAAGATTTATTCACCTCTGTGCCTAGCACGTGGCCGGATCTTTAATCACATCGCGCGACGACATTTCGTCTCGCCCACGACACGATATGTCCAGTATCGAGTGTTGTAGTTTCGCGTTACAATCTAAACACACTCTGCAATACATTCTGCATGCTCCGTTTTTTTTTTCTAGCGTGGGAAACATCTTTGCAAATAAGAAAAAAAATATATAACAATTGAAACTAAGAAAAGAGTAACAAATAATAATGCGAAGCGGCACCAAAAAAAATTATTTTTATCGAAGTATAGATTTTTGTTAAAATTTTTTAGATGAAAATTATATATCTTTCACTAAAAATAATTATGACATAATTATCTGCTATTGTGACGTTATATTTTATCTGCATTTTTTTAACTTTTGGATAGAAGTTTGGACGTCGCAAATATTTATTGCATATGATTTTACTCACGGTGCTACCGCGGTGTTCCGTGATGGGGTAACGCACCGTAGAACCCCTTTAATTCTATGTGAGTCTTAACGCGTCAGTCTGGCGCATTCGTACTGCTTCAGC